GTGCTGTAGGTGTTGCCTACTAATACGGATATAATGTTGGGTCACGCATTTTGAGGCACCCGAAGCGCCATAATTTTCGGGCAGGTAAGTGCATGGCTACAATAGGACATGGAAGAAGTGTACTGAGCCGATCATCCTGTTCCATCATCTCCTCAATGCCCTGGGCTTCTTAAATTATCCGTGAGCCGGTACCATCATTCTGCACTCTAGGCTGCAATGCCCTGTCCCTTTTTTCCCCTTCCTTTTCTTATTTTCTCGTCTTAATATTTCTCTTTTATGTATTCTATATATTATATGTATTAGGCTTATTTATAATGAAAATAAATGAAGAAAGTGCTCTGCTTCTAGATACTTGCCAGCTTTTGGTAATATTGGTATACAAACAGAATTGCTGCACTGTGACCAGCAGGTCACCTTTTGAACATCGCTGGACATAAGAAAAGTGATTTCTTTTGGGCTAAATGCTTGGGAGCTTCGCAGACATATTTTCTTGCCACTTGTGGCCGAGCAGAAATGGCGCATCAGTGGCCATACATCTATGGATCATCTTTTGAACGCCGGTGACCAGGAGAGAAGAGGGAGTTCTGGGACCAGATGCTTGCCAGACATCTTTTTGTCACTGGTAGCCGAGTAGAAATGATACAGCGGTGTCCGCACACTTGCGGATCATATTTCAAACACCAGTACGTGGCAAAGGAAAAGAGGGTACTCTGGGGCCAGATGCTATCCAGACATCTTTTTGCCTCTGGTAGCCGAGCAGATATAACGCAGCAGTGGCCACACACGTTCGGATAATCTTTTCAACACCTTTGACCAGAAGAAAAGGGAGTGCTCTGTGGCCAGATGCTTGCCAGACATCTTTTTGTCTCTGTTAGCCAAGCACAAATAATGCATCAGTGCATTATTTGTGGCTGTGTGTGGCCATGGCTACACACTTTCGGTTTATCTTTTGAACACCTAGGCCCACAAGAAAAGAGAGTGCTTTGTGGCCACATACTTGCCAGACATCTTTTGTCTGTGGTAGGTGAGCAGGAATGACGCATCAGTGGCTATACACTTTCGGATCATCTTTTGAACACCGGTGACCAGAAGAAAACAGGGTGCTCTGGGGACAGATGCTTTCCAGACATATTTTCGTCATTGATAGCCGTGCCCCTCTACCAAGGGGGGGGGGGGGGGGGGGCCCTCTGACAGGGTCCCGCCTTGGGAGGAGAGGAAAAGCAAAAATCACTACGGCGGCGGTTGTTGGCATAGGGATGCCCTCGACCGTTGTCGACCCCTTGATGTCGCCCTTTTCTGCCCCTTCGCGGGATTGTGCTGGTGTCGAGCTCTGCGGGGTCCTTTCTCCCTGTCACTCCTTCCTGGGTTGTTCTTTTGGCAAAGCCCAGTTTTATTTTTTCCGTAGTTTAGTTCCCAGTTGGCTTTTTACATGAAATTCATTTTTGATCAAAGGATCCAATTAATTTATATTGAATTGGCTTTAAGTCTGCGGTGCGAAAGAGGGAGCGGACGCAGGGGACAATTATTTTTCAGTCTTTTACATACAGCCCCAAACTCAAAATCTGTCTCTGGTAGCCGAGCAGAAATGATACATCTGTGACCATGCACTTACGGATCATCTTTTGAACACGAATGGCCAAGAGAGAAGTGAGTGTTCTGTGGCGAGGTGCTTGCCGGTCTTTTTTTTTATCACCGGTGGACAGAGAAAAACTGAGTTGTCTATGGCCAGATGCTTGCCAATCATTTTTTATTACCAGTCGCCAAAGGAAAACAGAGTTGTTTTTGGCCGTACGCTTGCCGGTGATCTTTTGATCTCCGGTGGCCACTGGCTGAGCTGGCCGGAGAGTGCCCGAGGGCTGGCCAGAGACGCAACACATGTTTCGTGCTGCCTGGTACGGTCCTGCTAATCAGACAGCATTATATATATCAGCCTTTTATAAAGGTGATTCTATCTGCTCCATGTGATCCAGAGGAAGTAAAACGAAAGGTATCATCATGAGATAACTTATTCCTAAACTAACCTGCGGCTCTGAAGAAACCGAGATGCTCACATTCCTCTTCAGCCTGTCATAGCTCGAATCTCGCTGTGTGGAGCGTTGCTATGCGGAGTGCAAGTTCGTCCGCTTGTATTGCTGGGGTTGTGGTGACATCAGAACGCCGCGCTCTGATTGGCTCTGATTGAAGAATAGTGGATAGACCTCAATGCTAGCTGCCTTGAGGTATACCCGCTATCCATCAATCAGAGCCAATCAGGGCCCGGCGTTCTGACGTCACCTCAACTCCTGCAAAAGAAGCAGACGAACTTCCGCTCCGCATAGCTTGTTTACGCAAGCACTTCTGGGCGACTGTGTTTTTATTTTGGACTCCTTGAACGCTATAAAACTCATTCAATAGCGAAGGAATATAGGTTGAAGAGCGTTAATATGACCACTTTGTTACGAGGAGAGTCCTGCCTACGAAATAGTAAATTGAGCTGTTGGTTTATTACTCTCCGAATTTAGTCACCGAAACGTTTTTGCGAGCCAATGAAATGAAAGGGGTCGGGAGTAATAGAAGGAACAAACGGTTCGATGGGAAAAATAGTTTATTCGCATATACTCTCAGAAACATTGGATCTCCAGTTGTACATTTCTTGAGAACAATTCTTTATCCATACAATAGATCCTGTACTTCAGTGTTTTGACTGGCGTCGTACGTGCCGATGAACACATAATATGTCAGAAATCCCGACGGAGTCTCCAAAATCGGCCGGAAAAATCGACACCTGCAAGCAGCGATCTCAAATTTGCAGCAGATGAAGTTCAGTGGTGCATTTAACCTTTCTGTTTAGCTTAAAGGGCCCAACTCCTATCCCGTAAACAACGAGATAAACAAACTTGCAAGGGTCAGCGGCGGACATCAATGTAGACGATCGAGTTAGCGAAGATTGTGCTTGTGGCGCCATTTGCCGACAGGCGCAGCGATCAGACGACACATTCAGTCCAGCGCGACGACCTGGTTGTCTGCAAGCTGTTGCGCCATCAAGTCCGAGTCTCGGTAATTCGGTCGTTTACGTCGGGGGTCTCCAAACTCCGGCCCGCGTAAGCGCTCCTGCAGGCCCGCGAATGGCGCGGTCTTTCCTAGAACGCCCGACCCATGGCCCGCTGCTGCAAATGCCAAGTGCGCATGACGAACAAAGACAACGCCGCCACTCGCACCTAAAACGCAAACGAAGCTATCAAAAATAATGAGAAATAAAAACAAAAAACTAGTGCATCAAAACGTCAGTCTCTCGCATTATTGTTTATGGTACGTTGACATCACCAAAATTACAATTCGTAGTTCCTTGCGCTGTGTTTGTGGAACTAGGATAATATTCGTTAGCGTTCTCATGTACACAGTGCGTAGTATCATGCGTCAAAACTCATGCATATTATCATCATCAAATGTACCAGACTCATGTATACTGCCTTGTCTGAATATACCATAGTTCCCCATGTTCTTTCATATATTATTTGGAATTATTTGCAATGACTTTATTAGCAACTTATTGCATTTAAAAATAAATATATGTATTCCCACCTTACACGTATTTTGACTACTTGTTCTGGTTATTTTTGTTTGCATTTGAATACTTATTAGGTTTTATTTACTTAGTATTTCCTCATGTATATTCTCTTATTTATTTTACTGCCCTCGAGACCGTGTCAAGTCCCCGATCCGGCCCATGAGCCAAAATGCCGGAGACCCCCGGTCTACGTTGACATCCACCGTTGGCCCTGCCATGTTTGTTGGTCTCATTTTTCACCGGACGATTCCAATGCCTTGGTATTAAAAAAAAGAAAAAGTAACCCATACGCACCTCTAAAATACACTTTTGGTGAACATTTGAGATCGGTACGCACAGGCGTGGATTTTTTCTGCCGACGTTATTGCGTACCTCAGGATTAATGTCAGTGGAACAAAAATACATATGAAGGCCTTATAAAAGCATGCCAAAGACGGCGATTGATACAGCCACAAAAGATATTCGGTGCACCTAGGCAGCGGGCGGCCGAAGGACGACTTCGGGATCTTTACTCCATTTCATCGCTCAGTGGCGCTCTGAGGCCTCTCAGCCGTTACACTGCCTCAATCAATCCAGCGCTGTGGACGCTTGACGTCACTACGCTCCCCAGACGTCGTTGTGCCTTTCCCGACAATCACGTGACACTCACACGACATTGGATTCCTTTCCATTGCTCATTACATCCTCCGCGGTCCACCATGAGCTGAAACGGAGTTTTCTTCCTTTAGGGAGAGTACTCGGCTTCGACCAGTATTTCGACAAGTGCACCTTGTCCAGCACGTACTTTTCAACGCGGATGCAGTAAGCTCGCTAATATCATGTTCATTAATGTTCGCTGCGACTACATAGAACCGTCAGCAACAACATTTTTCACACGAACCAAGTTCACACGTTGATGATTTTATGTATTCAGCTTGACACTGTCGATCATCGATCGAAATACTTTTTTTTTCAGCACCGTATTCAGTACATGGCATCGACCTCAGCGCGGAGCCGACATATAGACAAAACCAGCGATGCCTAGTTTTCCGTCGCTCGCTGCATTTACCAACGAGAGAAAGTCGAACCGCAATCACAGAGAAAACTAGTATTCCCTTTCCACTTGGCCATTCCCCCTTCACGAAGATTTCATAATAGCAGCTCCGTTTACAAAAACGATTGTTCTGCAAAGATTCTTTCACTATAATTTGACGGAAAGGGAAGTTAATGAAACGCCCGCTAACGTAATTTGCACTTTGGGCACACTTCCTTTTAGTGACGTATCCTTCATCAGAGCATCGCACCAACAGGGTCGGCTGAACACTGGTGTACCTTCAGCATTCCGTGTGCAAGGTGGTCTTTTTTTAGGGACCATTTGTGTAGTTGATATCCACACACTTTTGACGTCTTATACACGAGCGCATCAAACTCGTGCGACCAATCTGCCCGTTTGAGTCGCCCCCAGGGATATGCCCTACGAAGCAGGAACCAGCGGCCGCTTGTCATCGTCGTCTTCCCCCGCCGGTGCGTCTGCGTTGTCGCCAGGGACGGACAGTTCCTTGTCCAGAGCGCCCCAGGTTCGCTGAGCTGGCTCCTGGCTTGAGAGCAGCGAGCTTCGCGGAGATAGCACGCCGTCCGGGTTTAGCTTGCTGTGCCTCATGCCGTACGAGAAGTACACCAGGAGACCTGTGACCCAGAGAGTTTCCGTTTAGCGGGCACATCGCCAGGCATCAAAATCATGGCATGGTGAATTGGGAAATGAAATAAGTTGCGAAATGGCAGGTCTATTGTCTTGTCCTGCAGATTCTCCACTTTCCCAAGGAAGAAGATATAGCTGGGGATTACGCGGTGTCAATCAAAAGTTCCCCAGATGCGCGAACAGGAGCTTCCTCCAGCGAGCGCTAACAGGGTAGCCGTGTAGCTTCAGCTATATGGTCATTTGGGACCAGTGTTGTACACGTTCTTCAAAAAGAGGAACCAAAGCTCGTTCCTTATTTTTTTGGGGGAACGCGTTTTCGTTACAGCTTCCATCTGTGAGAAAGGAACTTGTTCCCGTGACGATTTTAAAAATGGAACGTATCGTTACATATACGTTACATTTGTATTTTGCTAATTACCATAATTAATTTGATCAAACGAAGGTTTTTTCTTTATTATCTATCCCATCAAGTGACAACATACGAATTTGAAGGCTTTGATGAAAGGACACCTGGAGATGAAAACAAGCGGAAGCAAGGTTTCATTTGTTGATATGTTCACGTTTAAAAATCTGTGTTTTGTCATATTCATGTCATATTCATGGGCGATGCAGATGAGCCAAATGTACTGTAACCCCACATTGTACGAGCGTTCTACAAGAACCTCACATGTTTCAATTTAACAAAGTCTCTTGTTCGAACTTAGCAACAGTTGCTTCTCGATGTTTCTGTCTGCGATACGAGCAAGTAGAAAAGAGGGTATGACTTTTGAATTTTGAAGGTAAGTCTTGAAAACTACCAGTTCTTCTTCGTGAAGGTTGGATTCATTGTTCACTTTGAAGATGGGAAACGAGGGAAGGAAATGAAGGTTAATCTTTGAGCCTCTGGCTTATGTTTGGGATTAAAGGGTGCGTTCGATGTCTGGTAACCTGATGTTTTGTTGTAACTGTAGGTCTCTTCGTGGAAGTTCAGTGAGGGCTGTAGTCGGCCTTAGATTTCTGGGTGTATGAGGATTCGTGGAAGGATAGAAAGTAGCTGAATTTGATATGTCTTGTTATGTACTCGGGCCCAATATAACACTGGTTTATTCTAAGTTACACTGCACCGATCCACATAACGCCAGTTCCGAAACCGTTCACGAGTCCCTCGAGTCACCTACAGCCAGTCCGCGTATGCTCGCTCGCACTGTGCTTCTTCCTCTTCGCTCCCGTTCCCCCGCGCATCCGCGGGAGTTCCCTCGCTCTGGCACACTTTCCGTGCATTGCCGCTGGAGACGCCCCCGTCGGTGCCTCGCTATCCCTCACAATCCTTCCCCCTTAAAAACTGAAGTCCGGTCGGTCTTCGCAGAACTTCGACCACTGGTCCACATGAGCCGGGTGGTCCTCATTTAAACCCGTTCGCATTTGTACCTTCTCGTTTTTACCTTCTCATTTCAACCCAGCGGAAAACAACTTTCGCTTTTCTCCCTTTCTCACTTAAGGGGGGACATGGGTCTTTGCAGCCAAAAACTTCCTAAAACTACATTCTTTTGAAAACGGCGATGGCTGTTGTTGTTCTGAATCTACCAGGCTTCTGATTTCGTGGATGAATATTTGTGCTATAAATCAATTTATAATGTCTATGTGGGCTGAATGTGCATTAAAGTTGACTCTAAAACATTGTTTTCACATAACACAATTTTTAGACTCGTTGAAAATTCGCAGTAGGGATATCTCAGCATCTACATCAGTCAGAAATATAACCTTCCTTGAAATGTGTTGCTAAATGTGTGAAGCATACAATGTTGAGAATAGCATTTTTTAATATAAGTCTAGAAAATTTTTATTTGATCTTTTGTTTTAGTACTTGTTAGCCATGCATTGAGCACTGAACTTCAATATGTTGTAAAATCACTAATACTGGGTTTATTTTAAAAGTACTTCCAACATTGTATTCTTTACACTCCGTAGTATCTGGCCATGCGTTAAAAAGGATAATTTGATCAGCAGTGTTTTCCCTATCATTCCTCCAAACAAAGGCAGGCAAGTTTTAATTATCTTCAGGACAATTCTACTGACTGAGGAAAGTACCAGATATATAAAATCAGCAAAAAAGGCTGAACAAGCTTGTGCAGTTTCATTGAGTTTGGTCATAAAATAGGAAAAAAAAAGCTCCAAGACCAGTGTTCCCCCTTCAACCGTTCTCAAAACAAACTTTCGGGTTTTGACCCTTGTCAAAACGACTTTTCTCATTTTAACCCTTCTCCTTTCAAACTTTCTGGTTTTGACCATTCTCAAAAAGACTTTTCGTCTCATTTTAAACTTTCTCATTTCAAACTTACTAAAAACACATTTTCTGGTTTTGACCATTGTCAAAACTGCTTTCCTCATTTTAACCGAGACCTTGATCAGGCTAGGGAAAACCAATAATTTCAGAATTCACTCACGGGAGACCGAAATAAAGGAACCAATGGCATTATAATGTCTAGGCACCTGAAGCTTTATTACGCCTTGAAATGCTTCCTGGAGAATGACATCTAGAGTGCATGCCAATCCACGGCATGACGGACGACAGATAGGCAAATATGCAATGATCATAGATCTGTACAACCACTCCAACACCGATTGTAAATAATTCAATATCTTACCCCGCCGGGGGTATCGACATTTCATCGAACACCATTTCATCAAACGTCGTTTCATCGAATAAGTGGATATTTTATCGAAAGCCGATTCATCGAACAGCGTTTCATCGAATCACTTGATGCCGTTTCATCGAATTTCCTTTTACTGAATTTTAGAGCAATACAATACTTTTTTACATAATTTACTACGCTTTAAAAATAGTTTTGACTCCACTCCAAATTCACCTGAAATAAAATTACTACCCGGTAAATTTTTTGTCAACCTAAACGTCGGCTACTGAATCATACAGGGTAGCTGTGTCATTCCAAAACTTGAGCGAATACGCGACTTATTCTTTTCTGGCGAGGTAGGCGGCTGTTCTCGGCCACACGCTTTTTTCCACTTCATCCCTCTATTTATTCACGCGAACTATTCTCCGCATCGCCTTTTTTTATTTCGTATTTGTCGATTTACCTGTGTTTTCATTTTATCCTAGGAGAATAGCTTTCTTTTTAAGAACATGTATGTTCCTAAAAAAGACGCGTCTCCCCTTTTCGTTAATTTATTGTAACCGACAAAACCGTAAAGCGGTCGGATATTCGACATGCAGTCTATATACTGTATGTCGAATATCCGAATGGCGTATGGTTTTCTCGGTTATAATAAATTAATAAAGAAGGGGGACACCCCTTTTTTTCCGTATCATTGGACACGGAGACCAATCACTGCTTTAAGGACGGCTTCGTTTTGAAGCAGAAAAAGTATCTTCAAGGACGAAGATATACGCCCCTGAACGGACGTGCGTTCATCACTGCACCTGATGAACGCAGTTTCAAAAAGTGTCGTCAGCGTTCCCGTTTCTTATTTGCCACATTAACAGACGTCATCATTTACTAGAAAGAAAGAATAGAAACTTGACAATAAAAGGTTTCTTCCTTTTATAATTGTATAAGTTTATAAATTATAATCAATACTAAAACACTGCTATCCTCCCGGTGCTTAAAAAGAAAAATATTTCCTACATGTAGAATTCCTACTGCTCAAGTAGGCAGCGTTCAATGAAACGGTTTTGATGAAATGGCGTTCGATGAAACGGCGTTCAATAAAACTGCGTTCGATAAAACGACTTCGATAAAACGGTGTTCGATGAAACGGCGTTCGGTGAAACGGCGTTCGATGAAATGTCCGGACCCACTTCATAGGGCATGCCAAGTGAACATAATTTGCATCCGATGATTCACGACTGAAACGAAGAAAAAAATCTGTGCCTGGTAAGAAAGACCTAGCTCAAGCCGCGCAACATCGCACCCGCACATTTCGAAAAAAAAAAAAAAAAATGCCGCAGTGCCAGCTTGCCAATGGCGGGATTTCCCTTTGTGACTTTCTGAGGACGAAGGAATTCTCTGACCTTTGAATGGTCCGTGTTTTGTTGCTGCGGTCATCTTAAATAGTTTGACCAATCACCTGCGTTGATAATGCTTGTGGGAACAAAGCTCCAGAATAAAGCTTTACCAAGCATGAGATCGCATTAAGGTGCGATGACTGATTCTGTGGCAAAAAATATTTTGTTCTATGCGTCTCAAGAAGAGCCGTCAGGAGCCTAACGATTAGCCATACGGTTTGAATGGCATAATGCTTTCCGAATCGCTTGTAACGGGATGGTATGGAAAACAAAACATTTCTGTGAACATATTTCGAATGCAATAGATCCTACGCAAAAGGGTTAAAATGATTCATGCCGGGGTGGGCACAGGATCGTTGGCCGCTCCCAGCTGGTGGTGCTCTTGAGTGGTGGCGGCGGCGTTTTGTGAGCGACAAGGTGCACAGTAGTGCGAGAGACCCGCCGCGACTGCTGCTTTGTGATGCTGCCGGTGCGGGCGGTAAGCGATCACCAGTTAGCCTTGGTGTGGAACATGACATTAAGTGTTCGCATCGGTGCACACTGGCACAGGTAGACCACGAAAATGGATCGACGAACATGTTTGAATTGTAATAATATATACAATGGCGACTCTGACGGGCTTCTTGTTTGTTTGTGTGCTCGTTTTTTTTAGATCTGTTTATTTGTTTATCAAATAAAAATTGTCGCGGAGTAGCCGGCACTGTTATTAACAGTGCCAACATCTCCATTATTTTCAATATTTTATTAACACATGAAGAGAGACTGGTTGAAATTCCAAGAGCACACTAAACAGGAAGACACGGATATTGTCAAACTACATGCTTAAACGATACGGGTTGAAACGCCAAGTACCTGTTTTGAGACGGAGTTTAATTAAACACTAATGGTTTAAATGAAAGCGGGTTCAACCAAGAAGGGCATAAAATAGATAAGGTTAAAGTGCAAAGAGCGTTAGGCGATCGGTTTGAAATACAGTGTTCAAAT